GGACAGGAGTGCGAAGTTGCAATCAGTTGAGATGAGTGGATCGCTGCCTCACTGTCAATGCCACGGTGGTAATGTGGAGATCGTTGCCAACTGCCTCTCAAACTGTTCGAAAATCTCTCCTTTCTTCGTGCGTACATCCACACGGTGACGATAGGCAGACACTGACGCAACACTGTCTTTCCTAATGGGATGATGAATTAAAGTGTGCACCTGTCCACACTCCTTCCCTCCTCCTTCCCTCACTCCCTTCTTCCTTGTCCCACATCTCCATCCGCACATGCCACCACCTACGCGACTTCCCACACACCGCCTCCTTCTTCACCATTGTTCCACGTCCACATTAGTCATTCCCATTCCACCCTCCCACGACAAAATGCGCACATTCTCCACACTATCACCGCCAGTGCCTTCTCCCCTCCATCTACGATGCATCGGCGTGACGACACAATGTTGCTTCAATTCAACACTGTGATGACAAATTGTGCGGTGGTGGTGAGACGGAATACGAAGTAGTAGTGCAAATGTGGCCGAAACTGCGTTATTGTATTTGGAGACACGTGGAGTGTCGCACACACTGTCGTCTGCCTCCCGTCCTCAGGTCCAGGGGAAGGGACAAGTAGAGAAATGGACAGGTCGACAGACCACACGAACCAGATGCAGTGTGGAAGGTGATCAGTGAACAATAGCCAGCCACCTGCTTCAACTGCTGCTGCATCCACCTTTCATCACAACCACCTCCATGTCTCCCTCACACCCTCCTTCTCCCTGCCTCTGCCTCTCCGTGTGTTTGTGTATTGTTGTTGTTGATTGGAGGTGGAGTCATTTGGAAGTCAGTGGAAGGGAAAATAGAATCACTGATGACGCCCTTTTCCTCCTTGCAGTCCTCAACCATCACAATCACCTCCAAGGCTAAGCAAATCAGGCACCCAATATTGTTGTTCTCCTCTCTCTCGTCTCCATGGTGTGCGGTGTCGAGAGGTGGAAGGAGGGCGTTTGATGGAATGCAAAGCTAAACACGACAGCC